GAACGAGCAGGCTGGCGAGGAGGCCACCAAGGATTGTCCAACCAATGCTGCTGAGAGCTCGACCTCCTCCAGAGCTCAGCAACCTCCATCCACTCACAGCCACCTTCTAGACACAGGCACTTATGTCTTTCCTTACATAGAACCCAAGGAGACCCAACTGTCTCCTCCAACATTGGTGATACCTGAAAGAAGCACCGAGTGTCTGTTGATAAGAGTGGGGAATGGAAGTTCTTTTCTTCCCTTGGTGGCCTGGTGTTCCCGAGGATCTCCAAACCCACAGGTGTGTTTTGCAAGGAGCCCAGGAGCCCAGCCCTGCTGCTGTACAAATGGTTCTCTCTGAAAGCATCTATCAGATGAGGCTCTTGGCCAAAACGTTTCATTACTTGGCTTCTCGATCCCAGAGGGGGTTAGCTGGGAGCAACGCTGCATAGATTACAATATGCCAGGCAGCCACATGAGCCAAATAGGAGGCAACTGAAAAGCTTCCAAGTTCATCAAGAAGGCACTCAGCAAACCAAGGTGCCTCCAGTTTAAGGCATCTGTGGAGTGAGACACTTCAGGGATTGCAGTTTTAGCCCTGGTAGAATTTAGCTGCTTAAATACTCCTTTCTTTGCCAAATTTTGAGTCCAGCCTATGCCTTTTTGAAATAAAAAGCTCATAAAAGATACGCAAGATGAAGAATTCAGCTGCTGCTGTTCAGAAAACCTTTTCTCCTTCCCTACTCACCCAAAACACAGAGACTCAGGAAAAAACCCTCATCCTTATTAGCATTAAAAAAAAAAAAAAGCTAGAGTTATAATTAAATCCATAGAGTTGTTGGAAGAACAAAAGATGAATTTGACACTTATCAAAGCAGAGGCCCCCTAACAGCACTGGCTGGAAGAGACAGGGACACTGCAGATGGGCTCCACAAACTCATTTTGCAAGCAGTGACAACAAGCTGCCATCCTCATTTGCAGAGACCTCCAGCCTGAGCTGCACAGCAACCGTGTGCCTGGGACAAACCCTTCTGAAGAAGAGCAGAAAACTGAAGCTGGGCAACGTATCTGCTGCCAGTTTCCTAAATCTCTCTTTTATTCCCCAAAGCCAGTACACACACTCGCCCCACCACTCGCAGTGAGAAGGGGAAGTTCCCATAAGCAAATTAATTTATTTTTGATCTTTCAGTCAACGGAAATGAGAGTGAAATTAGTAGTTACACTGCAGAGGAGTGACTTGCTCATTCTGCCAGGAGCATACAACCAGGTATTTGGAAGAAGTGCACTGTGTTGGAATACACATTAAGGAAGCAGTCGGTAGGGGATGATGAAGACTCGCTTTCTGGATCTGAACCCTTTCCCAAATTTACAGGTTTCTAAAACTGGGCAATGCTTAAAATAAAAATAAAATAAATAGTTGAGTTTTTGAGAGGGCAGACTTGGAACGATGACTTCCAGCTGATTATAGCCTGTCTTCAAACAGAAAAACCCAAACCTGAATCTACTTTGAAATTATACCAGATAAAACCAATTTCAAGATTCTTCTTGAAACGTGTAACAGGTCAGGATAGTTTCATTTTGGATGACTGAGTCTCAGTTTGCAGCTGAATCAAGCCACAGATACTGTATGTTTCATCTCCCTTTCCTCCACCCACTGAAACGTTACACACTGAACAGCCAGTGTTGAAATGAAACAAAGGGGATTCTAAAAGCTTGGTGTTGCTTTTGTTTTGATTACACAAAAATCAAACAAGGGATTAGGAAGCAGACAGCCCAGGCTGTCATTTCCTCTGTGTGCACACAAACTTCTACTCTAGCAGATTCAAGGGAGAGATTTAATCAACAGGCAGACAGGTCATCTAACAACACATATTTTAAATTAATCTGAAAAAAGGCACTGTCCATCCAACACCTCTAACATTACTGTGATGTTTTCTTGCTTCTTGGCAAAAGCAATTTAAGCCACCCACTTTGAGGGAGGCTGCATGTTTCCATACAGATATAAATCTCTTGGCTTTCATACCACTTTTGGGACACATCATTTACTCTTTTCCTAGACGTGTTTGTCCTTTGACACAACCCACCCTGAAAATCCAGCTGCTGCTCAGTGCTTTTCAACACCCACTCTCCAGGTGCTCCAGTAACCAGGTCAGTACCACTGCCCACAACTGCCAGCTCAAGAAAGAGGCAGCAGGGCACAGTGACCTGGCTACACTCATCTTAATGCAGAAAATTGCTAGTGCTTGTTTAAAAACGTGGCACCAGCCCAGCTGATAAATTTACCGAATAAATGTATTTTAAGGAAATCCACACTTCCAAATTCACCTTATGATTCTGTTCTTCCTATTTTGCACTTACCACAGAAAAAAATCAAGATTTATCTCTTAGGTATGGAAAACAAAGGGGAAGCCTGCATTCAGTTTTAATACATAAAAATTAATCCTTTCAGTGATCTCTGCCACTACTCTTCATTATATACTCACAAAGAACTTTTCAGAGAAGTTTTATTTAGTCTGAAAATAAATATAATACCCCATATTTGATCTTTATACCCACTGTAGAAGCAGGCACAACACCGAGGCCAAAAATTCAAGAGACATGCCATTGCTGCAGCACTGCTGGTGCAGCAGGATTAAGTACCACTTGGTGTTCCCTTCCCATCTGAAAGTGTTTTAATGCCCTCAGTCATTAATCATGGCCATCTTCTGCCACAAGCTATAGTGCCTCTCCACTGCTCCTCCAGCACAATGAATGTGATCAGAGCACTCCCTATCTCAGACAAAGTTTTTTAGGCACCCTCTTGGTTAAGGAACGACAGAGCAGGATTATTTCATGCAGTACCCTTTCCTCGAAGCCAGCTATTGAGCAAGGCACAGCTACTCCCTCTTGAACTACACCCTGTCACCCCCCCCAGCCTAGTCCTGCCATCCATGCAACATCTGGAAAGAGCAAGCAGCTCTTCTCCTTTCCTCTCATTATGAGGACTATGCATATGACAGTAATGTTTCTCATCTTTCAGGTGTGGATATCTAAAAACATAGCTGGAAAGAAAAACTTTGGGAATTTTCTTCTTGTGTCTGTCCTAAGTAAAAAAAAAAAAAAAAGTTTCTGGGATGGTGTAGAGGCTGTCTCTGAATATGTTTATTTCATTAACAGGATAAACTTACACTGCCAGCCTGACTTGTAACTAAGCTAGCAGATACTGTGTGTATTTTTACTAACACTTTGTTGAGACAAGAGGCTCAAAGGAAAGAATAAGAAATATGGCCCTGGGTTATTCAGATACTCTAGAGAGGGAAATGCACAAGAAGCCACATCAACCACTTTGTTCCCAATATCACTCAACTTCCCCTTCTGCTGCTCTTCTGTAGAAGAAACATGAACTGGAACTGCCTGTGGTGCCTTTTGCATCTGGGTCACCACGCTGTTTGGGCTGTTCCTGTGCATCCCTCCTGATAGTATCAAAAAGCACTTAAAGACTTTTTTTTTCAGGAGACAAACACAACTTTATCAATTATACTGTTGCTGTTGAGAGATGGGTGAAAAAATAAGAAGTCCCCCTTTTGTTTCATAGCCCATACCCTGAACCATGCTCTAACCACAATCCTCCATTTGTGGGCAACAAGGCTCAGTGGACAAACTGTATTTTACAGGAGACAGTGCTCAGATACAGTATGTTTGAGGTTTTCTCCTCTTCATGAGTAAGTCCAATGGGGTTTTCCAGTCCTTCAAAACGCACTTACTGTTCTATTGATTGTTTTCATGTTTCTTCCAAAATTTCACAAGGACACATTGAAAAATAATTCTATTAAATGTACTGAAGCTATCACGTACTTCATTTCATATTATAAAAGCTGCCTTCTCAGCTGAAGCCTGCTGGACAGATAAGAATTAAGAAACTATTTTAATGTAGACTCTGGCTGTGTTCCTAAATTCTGAAAGTGCCTATACATAAAAATAAAATTAAATTAAATCCTCTATTTCCCAGTACATAAAAAATTAAATCTTACAGTAAAATTGGTTCTCTCTTTTTATTTAATTAAATTAGAAAGCATTAAGTTTCAAATGTCTACTTCTTGATAGGAGAATAACAAAACCTACTCTGCATTTGGTTGGTTTTAACGTCTATCAATTGTATTTTCCTTACTGATTTGTTACCTCCATCTACCCATCTCATTAACTCAGGCATTAGCATTTGGCTGCGAGTCAGAGCCACATGTTTTAACTGACTGTTGTGAAATTACTCATACACTGCTTGCATAAGTAAAGTTGTGTGAACCAGCCTGAGTGAGGACAGCAGTGAGAGATGTTTTCCCTCTGCCTCCTCACCAGTGTAAAAGCCATGGCAAGAAGGGACACGTTTGCATCGAGTTCCTACATCACAGACCATGATCAATCTTTCATGACCTGAATTTGAACAAAAACTAACCCTTGTCACTAATATGAAAGGAGGCTTCACAGATGACAGTGGGGGAAAACACTACCTTTCCACTTGGCATTAGAATAGAAAGGAGAAGTGGTATAGAGTTAGCTTCACTTTTATCAGAGAAGGGTGGGTGAAAGCAAAAGACAGAAAAGGTTTATGATTTGCAACCCTTCAGCAATGCCCAGCCTGAAGACAAAACCACACTGCAACCTTCACAGTGTAAGACAGGAGTGTGACAGGAGGAGGAATGGAGAAAATGTTCTTATTGCAAATCAGTTCTCAGCAGGAGTCACGGCAAGCCCGTTACACACTCGAATGCTTGGCCCACCTTTTTCCCTAATAAGTCAGTAAGGAATGATTGGTAATAAAACTCTTGCAAGTCATTCCAGTGCTGGGTGGCATCACAAGGACATCACTGCATGAGATTTCCACTTGTTACACTGCACATCCCAACACAAAAGGAGAAGAATACAGATATGGAAAGATGAAACCATTCAAAGGAAATAAAGCCCCTTATAAAATCTCCAAAAGGCTGTCAGACTTCAGTAACACCACAGGAAGTACAAGAAAAATAAAACTCTCACAAAGTAAGATGTCATAATTAAAGGATTTTTTTTTATTTCTTCACTTTTTCCTTAATACAAAGCTTTGGCATCAGCAAATTTTATGAAAAAATAGAATGTACTAAATTGCTTGTGCTGCATGATCGATAAATGATGCATAAAAATAGGTGTCTCTCTCCAGGGCAATGGGCCGGGAAGCGTTTCTTCAATACCATTCTGCTCTGTGGGGCAGAAAAAGAAAAGGAACAAAATATTTGTATTAAAGTTAATACACTGCAAATAGTAAAAAAAAAATCCTGTAAAAGCAAGTTAATAAGAAATTACTAATTATTCAAGGCTAGAGCATTACGAAAGGTCTCAAGTCCTTACATCACTCTTACAGGGCCAGTAAAACACAGACAGAACAGCCAGAGGTTTGAGCACTTCTAAACATCTGAGAAAACTCCACCTGCTACTGAGAACTTTCCCTCAGTGGTGTTAGCCAACATCTGGCCTTTTTGGACTTTAAAACAAAGTTATATGGTAATTTCTGACTGTTCCCTAAGAGGCGACGCAAAATGTGCTTCTTTTGTTCCTTCAGATCACTACCTAAATTGTTTAATAGTAATAGTGCATGAGTGTTATGAGACCAAGAGAAAGCAGCTGGTTCCTTATTTTCTTATCACTTAGACAATGTTTACTTTTATCAGGAGCTATTTAAAAATGCTTATGTGTGTTTATATTTACATACATACAGTCATAAACACAGAGTTAGGTATGTATATATACACAACTCCAGAACTACTGCTTTAAAATATGTTTAAGCTGCAGAAAGGACATAGGGGGAAAAAAAAAAATCAGGACATGCTTTTGGGTGAGTTTTAATGCAGAATATTTAGGACTTTTTACTTGAATCAGCATTATTACGTGGCCTCATTCTTGCTACTGTTGTTCTCTGATAAGAAAACTCCCTCAGCTTCCTCTTGAAACACTACCATAACAAATGTAGGGTGTGCCAGCAGTGCTTTTTATATGGAGAACATCACAAAAAGCAGGTATGCAGCTATGGCACTTGAAGAAGATTGCAGAGAGAGGGAGCTGCCATGTATCTGGCATGATACTGAGCACAGGAAAAGCTTTGTCTGGCACTGGGGAACATGAGGGGTTAATGAAACAATGAACCCAAGCACCAGTCTCATACATGCACATTTTAAACTCTACAATGAGTAGTTGAACCTAGAAGCACTTGTGGAGGTTGCTTAGATCCCAAGGGATTCAGTGGAGAAGCTGTTGAGGATAAAGGCTACAGCTAAGTACCTCAGTTACCTAAATAAGTGATTTTTTGACAGCTCTGGTTTCTCTGCTTGCTAGTTTTCTGAAGTTTGCCTCAAAGTATACACTTGTTTATGCTCGGATTCTCATCCCTGTCTCTGGGGAAAGGAGCTCTCCTCACATCAGCTCACCCTTTGTTTGTACTAAGGGAACATCCCAGTGAAAACACTGCTGGAGGCCCCAGCTCTCTGCCAGTGTGAAGAAGCTTGCCTTTTCAGTACAAACAGACCCAGATCCCAAAAGACAACAAAAAGAAGAGTTGCAAGGCAAGGCAGAAATGCAACTGCTATCAGTGCTCACATCTGGATGATACTACATGGGCTACAGTTCCTTTGTCTTCTTCCTAATGATGTGGAAATGCCCAGAAATGCAGACATTCCTGTTTCACAACTCATCTGGCTCCATGTTTTCCTGAGCTATTTTTCAGTGCAGATAACCCTGTTCAGCTACAGCGATGTTACCAAGTTCCTGATTTGATAGTTGCAATTGCAAGATTTTGACAAATGGAAAAACAAAATAATCATCAGGTAACTCGACAGGGCTATTTCAAGTTCTAAAATTTTTCTTCATTTGTAATTAGCATCTGAAAAGAGGAGGAAAGGAAGATTTGCAAATTAGTGGTAATCAAGGGTCCCTGGTGACTAAAACCTCTAAGAACTTCTTATGGCCTCTCCTGAAGAAGATTACCTTGAGACTGTCTAAAGTTTTACACTGGAGAAAAACAGACATGTTTCTACCTGATTGAGGACACCCTATACTTTCCAGACAGCAATAAAAGTAAAAAAAAGCACTTGCTCTTACAAAAAAGAAGTTTATAAAGCTACATTTCCAGACTGCACAGGGAACTTGACAACCTCTGAATCTCACCCCACTTTCAGTAAGAGATCAACACATTAATGGAAACTTAGCTGAGTCAAGATGTTCAGAGACAGAGAAAGTTGTTAAACCTTTCCCTCCCCAAATAAATACATTATGATTAAATATCTATTATAAGCCCAGATGTTCCATACACTTCAATGAAAATAGCTAGATGTACCTAGTCAATATATCTGCAGAACAGATTTATACTTGCCCACACACAGAACCCTAAAAAAAAAATAAATATTCTAAGGCACATCCTAGAGTCTTTTCTTTCCCAGCCTGTCTGAAGGGAGGCATTGGGGGTGCCTATAAAAATTAAGAAAGGGATGTCTTTAAGCATTTCTTTGACTGCAATTCTTAAGCATACTAAAATGAGAGGTCAGAAGACTGCTCTGCTCTCCTCACTTGAGAAAAGAAACAGTGTTCATTGCTTTCATCTCTCCCTCTGCTAAGAGCAAAAACGTAGCTTTCTATTTAAATATCTTTTTTTCTTAGCTGAAAGTGTGCCAACTAGGAATACAGATATTTTAATATGAAATTTGACTATGCAACTGAGGTGAAAACTGTCAAAGGTAACTGATGGTAGTAATTTCTGGCTTTGCCAGGTGAATTTTGAGCATGGGGATTTAATGGCAAAAAGCTAATGTTTAGCTAGGCTATCGATCAAAAATTGGATAGAAATATTCTCTCTTTCCCCTGTTCCATTTCTTGACTTAGCAATGAGATATCCTTGGACAATCCAGCTAAATATAAATGGAGAGGACATCAGATGTTACCCTGGAACCTACTGTTAGCAGAGAGACTTACATTTGAGAAAAGAAAAAAGGCATTTAATTAGTCAAAAAACTGCATTTCCCCCTTTCTCTATTCTCTTGGTATCTGTTCCCAACATTGTCCACGACACACACCCACCAGAAAGATATAGAGACATCTGAATATTTACTTACTCATTAGCATTCAAGCTAGCTGTGGCTTTGATGATCATGTAGCAGAGTGTAAGGGCACTGAGGAGGCCAAAACTGGCAATAATAAACCATTCTTCTGTTGACAAAGGAAAGGGAGGAAATCACTCGTGGGAGAAGGCTTATGTCAAAGCGATGGCAACATTTCCCTCAAACACCACTGGCAGGAGGCAAGAGGCTTCTAAGCCATGACTGGCACCAGGAGGTGAAGCAGAAGGAGGTTAGCCACAGTTACTGACTGGAGAAGGCTAGCAAAGAAGAAGTGGAGAGAGGTGTGGAAGAAAAGCGTGGCACAACAGTGTTTCCTGGCTGAGCCCAAGCGTTAGTGACAAAGAAATTACTCAACAATGTAAAGTGAAATGCAGGAACCAGGGAAAATGTAATGAAAACTCTATCCACCCCCAAGTCAGCAAGAAGATTGTCAGGGTTGGTTTAGATTTGCTGAGATGTGGCTCTTCACATAAGCACAACCAATATACTTTCACACTTAACTTGTGTCTTTGACCCCTCCCTCATGAATAAATGCCATAGATTTACTTAAAAATAACCCCAAGCAAACACCCAAAAGCAAACCAAAAACACCCCACAACCAAAAGCAAAAAATAGGAAAGCTTGTATAACAGTAAAACATAACTAGATTTTTCCATTTAATATACAGGAATACAACATGGAAAAGTAATTTCAACATTAATGTATATATACAGACACATTAAACAAGAAGGCATATAAAGAAGGCTATTAAAGAATGTTCACTATTCAAAGTTCTCTCTCCTCAGGATCAATTTGGCACACAGTAACAGTCTAGAATACAAACACTTTTGTTGAACATGGCTTTTGGTTCAACTGTCATGCCTCAAAGAATGCATGTGTCATCCATAAAGTCTAAACATTTGAACAGCCTTTTCTAAAGCTTTATTTTATAAACATTGTCAGAATGAACTGTTGCTGATTATTTCTTGTTTTACCCTGGCATCCCATCTGTGCAAGAGCAGCACTACAGTTGGGAACAGACAGTAAAAGTAAAAATACCTTCTGCAAAACCAAGTAGTGTAAAGTTTAACTGAAACTACAGAGTTTTCCCACCCGTGACATGAGGAGAGCAGCACAGACAGATCTGCTCTGTTCAACAGAGCTGAGTACGAGATGGTTCAGATGCTGAACACTGCATGACAAAGTGACTTACTGGCTTTGTAAAGAATCTAGATGTTGTATGTGGATTTTTTCCTTCTCAGATCAGGACATTTCTGGACACACACTATGTGTTTCGTAAGATGAGATTTTTTTTAAATGAGCCATTTACTTTGCTACAGTATCTAAAGGAACACTAATGCACTGTATCAGTTACAAATACCAGTGCCAAACAGTGTCACCAGTTCAAAATCTAAACCACAGATGCATGCAAGCAAAATACAAGGAGAAAACTAGACTGCTCTTGTACTGCATAGATTGTATTTTTTTGCACTTCAGCCAGAAAAGCAACCATTCATGCATCAAATTGAGACTGTACAGCATATGGGAAAATGATGCAATTCCACACACATTGTATACATTATAGGGCTGGTATACATTAAAACCACCAGGTAAAATCCAGTGAGTGGAAATTTCTCATGGTGTTCTTATGGATAAGAGCTTCCAAGCAGTGCAGGAAGTTTTCTGATGTCATAAAACACTTGGGCAATACTCAAATGTTAGTACGTGAAATATTTTTTTAATTCACAAATTTTGTTGAGAAAAGCCATCTGCTAAGAGACGTCAGAATTCCAAGAGTAATGTTCTCAGGGGAAAAAACGCCTGCAGAAATAGTAATCAGCTAAAATATTTACATTTGTATGAATTATTGCATGTAAAGTACTCTGAAAGGGTAAATAGTGATTTTGGCAATCCAGCTTCTCATACTGGTTACCAAGTTCAAGAGGGTTTTGTTGTCATTTTAGCTCATCCAGTGCTCCTTGCAAGCAGATCTAAATGGATATACCATTAATAATGAAAGCCTTGGCACTGTCATACCTAGAGTTATTGGCTTCCATACGGAGCATGTGCTTCTTACAGAGACACCGAGGTCACCTCTGTCCCCACAGGAAAATCTTTCACCCTGGCCCCGCTGGGCAGAGCTGCAGCAAAGCAACTGCCACATACCAGGGCAACCACAGAACGGGACTGGAAGCCAAAGAAAACTTACTTGTCACAGCAATGTTGATCTCCCCTGCCCTCGGCGTTAGCTCTCCGTCCTGGGGAAGCTGCGACATGCCCGAGGTGCGCAGGGGCTCCAGGCTCAGGGAGCTGTCGTTGGAGAAGTCGCCGAGCGCCGGGCGCCTGCTGGCGGGCTGGCCTCTGGTCAGCCTCTCCATGTCAAAGGCCACGTTGTCTGTACATGGCACGTTTGGCTGGAAAAAAGCAACTCCACGTTACACTGGTGAATGTTCGACACGTAGCGAACGGGTCAGTTGAGTAAAACCACACACGCACAATTTATTCAGCTGCTCTGGAGAGAAACACTCAAATTAGAAAGTTCTAGATCAAGTTGCTCCTTCGGTCTACCTTGAAGAATAGAGGAAGAAGCATAAAAAGACTAAGATTTAAGAAAGAGACTCAAATATGCTTGTATCACAGCCTACGCCTGCATGGCTTACCAGGGAGCAATGACATGCACTGAATTCTCCTGAATCCTCCTCTAAATATCCAGGTATGTTATTAGTTGTACAATATACTTTCAACTTTTTCTTATAAAATGTGCAAATTTGCAATGGGCACAGCTGAAAGTGGAGGCTTGATTCAAAAGTTGCTTCTAAAGACAGTATCTTTTTTTTAAAGACAGTATCTTCATATGCTCTTCTCTTTCTTCCTTACTTCTTTCTTCTGGAAAGACCATTGCTCCCCGCTTGCTAACTTTTTCCTCATATAGAAAAGATCAAAAAAAAGCCCTCTAAGGTTCTTCACCTCTATCCCTTTGTGAACTGTCAATAAAAGCTGTTCTCAGGGATCTCATAAGCCATGAGCTGCTCGAGGAAAACTTGCTGGCTTCAGCTAGGACATGGCTTTTAATGTGTAAACAAATTTAAGGGTGTCTATTGGAGACCACAACAAGAACAAGAGATACACAGAGTAAATTTACAAATAAGGGTTGGATGAAGTTGAGAAAAGGGAAGACTGTAGAAAACCTAGTAAAATTCCAGTACATAAGAAATTGTTATGAAAGATTTACAAATAAATTGTTGGAAGAAGTTGAGAAAAGGGAAGACTGTAGAAAACCTAGTAGAATTCCAGTACATAAGAAATTGTTATGAAAGCAAAAGTAACAATATATTCTCAATGATAATCAGGAAAAGGAACAACAACAAATCAGCTTTATCACCATCAAAGAAGTCTGTAAAAAACCCAGGAACACCCTTCACCCTTTCTTCCCTACAACTATTCCTCCTCTTCTGGGTGTCAGACACAAGAGGAAGATGATCTCACAACAGTGCAACTTACCACAATTCCCAGTGCCTTCAAAATGTTCAGTTTACACATTGGACACGTACAGTGCTCACTAAGCCATGGATCCACGCAGGCTTTGTGGAAAACATGCCTAGAAGAACAGACAAGGCACATACATAATTTGCAAACAATTTTATTTTATACAATGAGAACTACTTTTGCAAACTTTTAGATAGTTTCTGTTTTAACTAAGTCAGCAGAACAAATTGTAGAATTGCCAGTATTCTGTGCTGACTGTAGTAAGAAAAGAATCAAAACCTCTTCCTTCTTGTTGCCAACCTTTACTAATAGTTCAGCTGGGAAGAAACAACTAAAAGGAAAATTTCTAATTTTTTTTCCTTCTTATCATGGCTATGAGCATGCACATGGGCAGAATAACTTGAGTAACAAAGTTCCCACCACAATCTTGTGTAAAGTCTTGTCTCAATTTCTACGTAGAACCTGGCCACACATTGGGTAGGAAGAGTGCAGATCCACCAGCAGTCCATTTTATTTAAAAGTCAGTGCAACCAACCCAAACCCACTTGTTTGATTTTGAAAGGGCTTTTATAATCCTTGCATCAAAGTAAAAAGAAGGCTTTTCCTCATTCAGTATTTCTTGACATCAAGAAGGAAAACATGTCTATCATGATGTGATGGTCATGAAAAAAGAATATTTCAAAGACGTAAAGGCAAACTGGGCTTCTGCTTGCACAGGAGGGAACCCTGTAAGAGAACAGTCTGAATTGCCACCTCCACTGCAGACAAAATCTTAGTCACATACATGAATATAAACGTAACAGCACGGGGATCGATATAAACTGCTGTAACAAGGAAGGACTGTGCAGAGACCAAAACAACATATCTAAACTAAACGAATTAAAGGAAATGTCCTCTTGGCTTCTCAAAAGGCAAAGAACCTTCCAGAGAGTATTTATGGCAGAAAAGGATATCACTAGACTTTCTACGCAATACAGGAAAGACTCATAATAACCCAGTCTGAATAACTGCCTACGGTAAGAACCCAGACCTTCATTTCCAGTGGCACCAACAGCAGAGCAAAAAGCCAGTTAAGAGCAGGCACACCCAAACACGACAGACTGGTGATCATGACAAAGATCAGCAATTACAAGGGCTGCTTAGCCAGCAAAGAGCTGTGCTCTGAAACCAGGAGGTGAAGGGGCAGTGGCAGCACAAGGCGTTCTTGCCATCTATTTGAGGCATCAGCACAGTCTGTAAGAGGTCATGCATGTCCTCAAGGCAGCATGAAGCTGAGATACTCTCTGCCTGCTCCTTCCTTGGGATATACTTGCTGCTCTGTGCCTCAGTATGCTCATCATAGGGCCTGGGGCTTCTCTGCTCCCTGCCCCTTGGGATTTTAAAACCACAGACCAAAGGAGGCAGGTTACCAGAAAACTCTCTTTTGAATCTCTGGAAAGTGTCCTGAGACAAAGGCCTCCTGAAATTGTTAAACATGGAAAAAGGCAGTATGTAATTGTGCTTTGTGCATGGCTACTAAGGCTGATGGAGGGAGTAAAGTATATCAACTTAATTAGGATCCAGTCAGCTACAACGGTATCTCCTACTAAAACTAACTAAAGATGTGTAGACTTACAGAGTATGATACAGTCAACAGAAGATGGGCAGGGAACAAAAGAACTTCACTTATCTACATCCCGTATATTGCAGGACCAGAATCTCAGCTAGTCACTTTGCTGGCCCATGTCCTTTAGCAAATACAGCAATTGGGAAAAAGAATATATACTGTGCTTATTGTTCAAATAACTGCACAAAACAGACTCACTTCTGTTGTTATTAGGTCTTAATGCCTTCCCTTTATTACTCCTGCAACTACAGAAAACAACATTTAGAAATCCTGAGTGATAGCAAATGGTTGGAAATCTTCTGGAATACGCAGAGATGTTATTTTTCTGTGTTAGTCAAATAATGTCTCTTATTTGCTTAGACTTCCTTTTAAGTCTCTAAAGTCTGTTTTTCCCAGAGTAGGGAAACCCTGAAAATCTAGTATTTTGAGAAACAGCAGACAACAAGACTCCACAGAAGTATGAACACAGCTTTAATATAACGTTATCGGCTAATCAGTGCTGTAGAAGCACTCAGATCAAGTGAAGCAGGCGACTGATATGGATGCCAACATGCATCCACTACATATTCTGGAGAGTCATTAGCAGTTTGATACAGTTCAAACGCACTGAAACAGCTCAACTATTTTTGTGACCTCTTAATTCTTTGCTTTTAGTTCCTAAACCTTCAAGGATGTTTATTAATGTGTTTCAAAAAGTGCAGTTCTCCAAAGGTTATTTATTGATTCAGATCAGCATGGCTCTGCCTATTACTTATGGAGTTTATCTACTCCTTAAAAAGCTTGCTGATACCATCATCGTGGCTCAGGCTCCGTCTGGATTGCTCTGCTTGCAAGAGTTAAAAAGCAGTTATACAGCAAAGAAGTTAGTAAACACATTAATTATTTTAAAAACTCGATCTGACATAGCAAGCCCTTGAATTTTCTGCTATCATAAAACTCCATATTCATATATCTGCCACTTGCTTCCAAAGACCATAAATCTGAAGAGTTCCTAGCGAGCTGCTCTAGGTCATGGCAGCTGATGATGTTCCCCCTGGAGCCACGCTGGGGAGTCAAGTGTGACCCAGCTTTTGCTGCTTCTCCAGCCTTGGGGCTGGAGGAAACACGGCCAGCAGCCAGGCTGGTAGCACTGGAGGAGTCTCCCATGCGGGCATAACTCCAAACAGGTGACCTGAAGGTATTTTTCCACTCTGTCAGCACACCCAAGCCAGTTGCCCTCCAGCTTGTAATAAACACTGTGATACCAACTCTGTTGTACAACAAAGCTTCTCTGCAGCATTTCACAGAAAAAGTGTGTTAGAAGTCTCTTTTGGTGGTATAACGCCTCCAAACTCCCATGTCAAACAAAGAGAAGGGTTTGAATGAGTTTACAATCCCTAAGGGCTCACTACACCTCCTTGCTCTCAGTGCAGCATTCCATCAAAGGCACCTGACCAACATGCTGCTGCAAAGTAGCACCTTTGGCTGCTGCTGGAGGCAGCTGCTCCTCTCACCCTGGGGTACAAACCTCCCAGTCAGGCCCGTAGGCAGCGGTCAGGTCCTGCCTGCCCTGCTCCATGCCACCCAGTACAGCCAGCATAGCCAGGGAGGGATGGCTGGCCTGCTGCTGGGTGGCAGGAAGGTGCCCTGTGCCCCCTCCAGCAGGCAATGCCATGGGAGAGCAGCCTTGGTGCCTTCCACAGCTACACAGTGTTGCTGGGGGAGAAGAGAGACCGTCCTCACAAGCAGGTAGCACAGAAGACGTGGGTTGTGCAGAGGCATTGCAGTAAGCAGACAGGAAGGCAATGAGATATTGCATTCAATTCCTCTTAACAGGAAAAAAAAAAAAAGGCAGCTCTTTGCAGCAGCCTAGAATCAAACAGATGAAAATCTGGCTTAGTCATTTTTATCACTTTCCTCCTTCTCGCCCAGTACAGGAATTATTAAGAATTTGGCTCAAAAGCCATTTCTTTTAGCATATTCCCTGCTCCTCATTTTCTTCCTAGCTGGTAAATTCCTTCCATCCCAGGCCACCTTTCTGCCCTTTCCAATGTCATTCTCTCTGCTCTTCTCCAGCCTGTCACTTTGTTCTCCCCTTCCCTCATCTCTCACTAGTCCTTCACACTACCCTCTCCTGATCACTTTTCACCTACTGCTCGTTCATCACCTGGATGCAGCAGCGTGGTGGCAGAGAAAATAAATAACCTGAATAAAGAAAATTGTCCATGATGTTTGTCTTTATTGCTAGACTACTTCTGACATTTGCTTACTCTACTTATTTTTAACTTACATGATGATATTCACAAAAGATAGAGACATTTCTCAAGCTTGCAAGCCTCAGACAGATGGCTGCCTTATCCCTCGGTGCAATAAAAGCTATAGGGACATCCAGAGGCTGCTGGTATTGAATGTGTTTCTCTCTGAAGCTTAAAATGAATGCTAGAAGTTGAACTGTGTTGTTTGCAATCATTTTCAAGTCATTTTTAAACTGGACACGATTCCCCACCTGCCACAAAACTTCATATCACAAATATGGTGTTTCCCCACAGAATTTTAGGTGCAGCTTGCTCAGCTTTTGCCTGCTGTGTCTGCCCAGACCAGACTCCTCTCTGCTGAGGCACAGAGTGACAGACCATACTTAACTGCAGAGAACAACTGCACTACCAAAGGGAAATGCTACTTTTAAATTGATGAAAGCAGCAAAGATGTCATATGCCAGTGATTCCTACTGTCTCATGATTATGGCTTCCTCAATACGAACAGTAAGAAAAACAACTAGCCTTTCATTTGCTTCCTCTTGGTCGAGCCATTTTCTATGTTTTTTCTTACAATTTATTCTCTCATCTGGCTTAAGGAACTCTCTTGTAGGTTTGGTTTTTTTTTTTGTGTGTGTGTATTATTTAACAACACCACCACCACAAAACAAAAAACCAAAAGCAACCCTTCACATATTGCACTCAAATGAGAGGTTGAAGTGTGAGGAAGTAGAAAGGGATTACATCTCCAAAACAGGATTTGGGGAGCAGCACCTCAGACGATGAAGACTGAGAAGTCTTACATGCAATCTGAAATTTATTTGGCTCATCTCTGCAGGTACTGTTTTGGCTTTTCATCTACAAACATAAAAATGTCTTGTCAAAAGTATCCATCTCAATGTTTCCATCTAGCCAAGACTGTTTTGCACTAAGCTGCAGCAGATGAAAAGAGATTTTAAAAAGAGAAGTAGAAAGTGAACATAAAAGTTGTCAAACAGCCTTTTGCAGGAATGTAATCTTACCTTTGCTGACCTTATATTGTTGTGAAAGAACAGAAAAGGAGCTACACAAAAGCCTTGATATGTCCTTTACATGGGAGATTGCACTGGAGGAGGTTGTGCTGAGATGGCAGCCAGGTGCACCTTCATCCAGCTCTCTGAAGCAGCTGTAACTATCCCTGAGAGCAAGCAGCCTCCAATCTGCAAGACTGTGGCACACCAAAGGTGTCTGAAGGAAACTTTAAAAGGCACCATCTTGGTTAAATGGTCTGTATCTTATCTGCTGATACTAGCAACATATCCATAGCTTAGACAGTGGCAGTTGTTTAACTAAAGAAGTTGACTTCTAGTCCCAATGCTGTCTTGTGCTTATTTGGAGAAGATGCTTCCCTGCCAGAGGAAGACTCATTATCTCTTCATTGGCAAGGACCTCCCTCTGACCTCTGTTCAGTACCAAGAGAAGAGCACAGAGGAGTGAACCTCCATTCCACAACCCTGAGCCTCACAGGACCACCCTGAACTACACAAGTGAAGCTTTCTTAAGAGGCAGTTTAACAAACAAACATCTTATTGGTCCAAAATGGGTGTACAGTTTCCAGAAGTTCCTCCTCTAACTTCCAAATAATCTTCTACAAAGCAAATCAAAGACTAGACCTTCATTCACATGTACAATCTTTACCTGAGATTACAATAGAGGACATAACTCTCTGGAATCTTTACTAAACAGCTGGGACTACATTTTTTAGGGCAAGACATCATCTTTGATTAAAAATGACCAAATTGCTAAAAAGAAAGGTACACACCCCTGCACAACCAAAAGCTTCCAGATCTGTACAGATGTAAGACCAAGCTCTTGTATTCCCAAATATTTTTACTGGGAGTTTCTAAATAAACTTTTGTAGGGTATATTAACTGAACAACACCAAGAATCTAAAACAGGTCATTGCTTCCCATAGTCCAAGAGGTGAAGAATATAGAGAAAAATAAACTGAATTAAACTTCTGGCTTCAGAAGTAGAATGCACACATATTTTGATCAATAAGATATAAAATAATACTGTTCATTTTATGGTGATAGAAATCCATTATGCATTAGAAGAAAAACATTCCAGCTACTCAGAACAGCCTGCAGGAGGATTTAGAAGACCAATAATGAGCTCTTACATGCTGCTGCTGCATGACTGATGATCAACTCCAACACTAGGACTTTGTTGCTTCTAGAGTATCACGCAGAACATTATTTGTATACCAAACACAGGCCAGATTACTGGATCTTGGCTGCACATACACAACATAACATGTGGGTTTTGTGTCTGGTGATAAGAAGACAGCCCTGCATTTCAGAATACAAGTCAAACATGTCCTTGGTAATGCTTAAGGCTACCAGAATGTACTGATTCATCAAAACCAATCACAAGGTGGAAAGGTAATTCAAGGCATCTCTCAAAGAGCAAATATCCCAAACCAACTGAAGAATGGAACTGGCATGGACACAAACTGAAAACCTGTAAATGTGAAAGAGAATGGCATAAAAGGGGGGAGCTGTTACAGTTTAAGCACCAATGCAGAATACCCAGCAAGTATCTTCAGGCACAAGCCCAAACCACACTACATTGGAGAGACTGAAGGCAGATGACAGCAGAGAGGCTGATGTCAGAGGTGGTATGAGGGTTGCAAAGACTGCATTTCTGGTTTCTATGCTGTTTCAGAAAGCAGCACCCAATGTTGCACACCTACTGTGCAGAATGTTGCAGCTGTACTTGCTTCATTATACTTAAGTTTTTTGTGTCCGTCCACTGCTCAGTCCTTAAATCTGAACCATCCTCTCCTCCCTCCTCACAATCTTAATTGCTGCTATGCCCAAACTGCCCATCTGCAAGATCATAATCTTTTGTTTAATCACCACTTTCACAACAGTGCCAGCACCTACCTTCACACTTTCTGATATAATATAAAGTGGCTATTATTAGGACTGGGAACATCTAACAAACGTGTCTGTAAATTACAATGCACATATTACATGAAATGAAGCAAAGGAGCACAAAGAAAGAAGAGTTTCCAAACAAAGCAGCTTTTCTGGCTTACTTGCATGGTAAAATGCGAACAACATCGTTCTGCTTGTAACTCTCAATGCAGACAGCACAGTGATCAAAGTCTGGGTCTGTCTCCTAGAAGGAAAAGAATGAAAACTTCCAGTCAAGATTCGAGGCTATAACAAATGTAAAAGTAGTTGTGTCTAGTACAGGAATTGCACTGTGCCAAGTGGCTGTTACTAAGAAGACAACACCAGTGGCTGGGTTATTATACTCCAACATGACTTGAGAAAGAAACCTATCTCATGCACAGAAACTCCTGTCTCCTTTGGAGCTGGTAATTGGTCATCTGAGACACAAGCTAAGACCTAAAATTATTCTAATATTCACTATAAAATACAGTGGTGATGTTCCTAGAGTCTTTAGTTCAGCTTAGAACTAAAAATTATGTTTTATTTAGGGTTATGTTTTTTTATTGGTTGGTTGTTTTTTTTTGGTTTGGCTTTTTTTTTTTGGGAGGGGCGTGGGGGGGCAGGGCAAGTGGAACTGGATGGGGATGGGCAGGACTAGAATCCTGGCATTTCCTTTTATAGCCACAACTAGCAAATTTTACTTATTTCAGAGTAGATCCATATTTTTGTCTCCTGCCTACCTGCAGAATTATCATCAATCTTATCCAGACATAGATCATTGACTGCCTGGCTCCTCTTTTCTCTGTTTTCCAGAAGTTATGGTATTTTAAATTTTTTTTTTTTTTTGGTTAGTTGGTTTTTATTCTTTGTTTTTACACATGGGAATTTAAAATTTCTAATGACAAAGGGCTGGCTTCATTTGGATGTAGGTAGGCATCAGCACTATATATTTAGAATGCTTGGGCCTGTGACACAAAACAGACTGTGCCTTCTCTTAGTTCCAGTTCATTATTCTCATCGATGCCAGCACGCTACCAGCAAGACACTGAGACAGGAGCCACAAAAAGACAAGAGCTGCTCCCTGGTCGGCACCAGTCAGTGCTGCATGCAGAGAATCCTGATGGGCTGCTCTGGCAAAGGACACGTCTTCTCCTGCTCCCTGCTCACCTGCACGTGCATCTCACAGCCTCTGCACTGCAACCTACGTGTCACCAGTTTTGAATTTGTGCTGTCAAGACGACAGCATCTTTTAATACAGAGAAATTCCTGTTATCTGTGAGTACTCGCAGACCCACAGAAAAGATTTAGTGCAGTGGACTGTCTTGAAATAAAATTACATAAAGAGGGAGAATGAGCAGAAAGACATTTTTTCTGCCTTCTCTCTGGAAGCAAATTTTTCCATCACTTCCTAATCTTCCGTTGCTGATAGTGTTGATAAGAAAGATAAAAAGGAATCATGCTAAAGGCCCAAGGAAATAATCTTCTCTTAAAAATCAAATCATAGCCAGAATTCCCTTGACTTTTGCAAATTAAAGAGCAAAAATTATGCAAGATTAAGTGTCGTCTTTTGCTTTCAGAATCCAAGAGAAATCACTACTGCTCACAGAAGTGGAAGAAGTTTAGGACTTAACACACCATATATTTTAATTTGTACACTGGCAAGAAATATTCTTGATGTAACATGTACTATCTTGAATGAAATACCTGTTTATACTCCCCTTCAGATTACTAGATATTCACATTTTACATCAGAGACTGTCCTTTATTACTTGTCTTTAAAATTTATTTTTACTTTACACAACTTACATATGGAATGATTCTAAGCTTACAGAATTCCACACAAACAATGCCAGCTCTATGCAACCCCCCCAGCTGGCTAGCACACAAAACCACTCAGTCACAGTTGCCAGATGGAGTGCAAATAGCATTTAAGTCAGAAAAACATCTTTGAAAAGTCCAGGCTTACAGCATACTAAAAGTTATACAAAATATTGTGCCACAGGACAAAGGAAGCCTCCAACAAAGGAAGGCAAGGTCATTAATCAGAAGGAGAAAGGAAAAAACTGAGATTGTTTCCTCCAGCAAAAATTAAACATGATGCTTAAGATTACCATGTTGAAATCATTATTATTATTTTAATACCTTATCACCCTTCTTTACTGTCCTGGTTGTCAGTTTACCGATGGCTTTCTTGGCAGCATCTCCAAGACGACGCTAATAAAATGACAAAAGGAGAGAACACAAATTAACCCTGATAATCAAGCTTCATTACTGTCCTTCATAATGACTTATTTGGGCTCAATATTAACATTGCAACACACACTATGGCAGTGGGCCAAGACATAAGACAAAAGGCTTACACAGCACAGCACACGGATTTGTCAGGGAGGAAAAAAAACCAGTTGAGCCCACAAATGCACTTGGATAAACACAGGCATAAATGTCATGGACCATATAAAAGTCCATAAAAGTGACCCAGCATTTTTGTGACAAAATTAATTAAACCCAGCCTGCAGGATAAAAGCTGAAGCAACATGCCCTCCCAGTGATTTCTCCTTATATTCTCTTCATACTGCTTTTTATTCAGCATGATGTAATATACCCCTTGTTCTCTTCTTAAGCTTGAATTAATTTTATTTTTGTTTTTTTCCCCGGAGCAGGAAGATTTTATTCTGCAATGTAAGAGATCCTCTCAGTGTAACCTAGTTTCTCTCTTGCTATTACCTGAAACCACTAGGATCTCACAAAGAAAAAAATTATGGGTCACGAAATCTAAATGAGCCAATACAGTCTTAAATAAAGCTGAAATGAATACTGGTCTTCAACTGAACCTCAGTCTCAATGCAGAGGCCAAGCTATTTTTCTGTTGTTTACGCTGTTTTTATGACCACCACTGTTGGATGGAAGGAGCCACTCCTGCAATTCAAGTGCAGATTCCCCTGGCAGTGCCCAGCTCCCAGCCAAGGAAGCATGGCTCTTTGCCAGCTGGGATCCCAGAGACAAGCACTGAGTGGAACAAAGCTCATGTCATCTTGCTTCAGGAACCTGAGACATCAGATTTGGTTTACGTTGACTGGAAAATGGGAAATTCATGTACTTCATCCTTAACCTTCATCTTGTACTAAGTAGTCCAACTTTGAAAGAGATGGGCTGTTTCAGAGAATGTAAAGTGCATCTAACAAAACTTCCCAGAAAGCCTGAAACAAATGCACTTTCTACACAGTTGAAAATCAAATCCTTCCTAAGGGGTAACCCCTGGATACAAACTGAAACTAAGACAGCTGCTTTTATTTGAGAAGCACAAAGGCCTCAGATGTCCACCACAACCAGCTGTTCCACCATTATTCTAGAAGTACACAAGCACATTTTTTTGGTTGTGTCTACAGAAGAATAGCTCTTACTTTATATTTTTTAGACCATGGATTTGTTAAAAAAAAAAAAAAATTAAAAAGATCAATACTTGGTCCCAGCTACTGAAGTGTACCCCTGTAGGCAACACAGTGCCAGAAAGAGCTGGGATGAGGAAATTATGTTCTTCCTGAAGTCACAAATCTTATCCTAGTTGCAACATCTGAGAAATTGGTCAATTTAAGCAAATCCATATTACATGTCCTGGACCAAGCATATTTGCCCAACTACTTAGCAACACAGAACATACTGGCACACTGCTGGAGGAGGTCATCACTGCATAGCCAAAAGTGTGATTACCAAGAGCTGAAAAGGCATTTAACTTAAATGGTCAACACTACCAACAAAGTAATTGTGGGTAGTATTTATATTCAGTTTAGTTCATATGATTCTATATGCACTACTGGAAATCCTAAAGAAAGATTATTTTCCCACTGGAAATATAATATTTCAGCAAAACTCTCCTAAAATGTACACATGTTCTCTTATGTAAATTGATTTGCTAAACAATACTTTCATCTCTTCCATTTAAGAGATCCACCTCTTCCACTTTCTAATTTTAACAAAAAACCTTTTTATGCTAACATTGGAAATTCTCAGGATTTGTTTTTTTGATAACTCAAGGCATAGGCATATGCTTGCTTTTAAAACCCAGAACTGTCTGAATGGAAAGGGCCACCACATGCAAAAGTTTCACACTTCCAGTGGAAGTGTGCAAGAGTAACGATGTGAAATACCAGTATCTACCTGCACTATCTACAAAACACAGCATGGGTTTGATTTTTTTTTTAAAGTGTGCCTTGACATAACCTAAACCCACGATCACAGCCTCAACCAAGTTATTTCACCACTGACAGCACAGCCGTCTGTCTCAAAGCTCACAAAGCTCTTTAAAAATAAGCTCTAGCTGTCGCCACCTTCTTATTAAAGTTTAATAAGCTGAGCTTTTTAAACCACATAAAATTTTCATCAAGTTTCTCCTGCCCTTTGTAAAAATCTAAAGAAAGGAAAAAAGGTCATAAGAGCCCTTTCCCCATGGAGCAACTGTTTTGAAGCATGGACTTTTGGAAGAAGCCTAGAACCACGCAGGGGACACAGGAGGCACCATTTAGTATTCCACAGACACTTGTTGAATAACAGTTATTTTTAAACTTCCACCATCCCAAGGGACCACACTAAGCACCGGTTACAGTGTGGTCATTAAAGAATGACATCCTTAGGAAAAGCTACAGGATGCCCATGGGACCTGCAGCATCAGCCACTATTTATAGAAACCCAAAAGGAAATCCTTTGTCACAACTGAAGCTTTATAAGTTTGCGTTTGGTTTAGGTTTGACAAAACACCAAAGCACTGCCCCACAGGGAGCTCTCCTCTGTATTACTCACAATTCTGAGGAAAAGGGAGACAGCACCTGGAGGTCAGGCAGCTTTGTAGCTTGTATTGACAGAGACAGAGGCACAGGGAGCTCAGCTTTACTGACCCTGCTCCATAAAAGTCAAGGCACGCAATGGAGACAGTAGGGGATTAAGTCCACACCAGTAAAACATCTACTTCTCAAGTTTAATTCAGATTTGAGTTGATGACTTGATTTAATCAAGATTTCAGAGTATGGCCATACTTAATTCAGTTCTTAAATTAAGAGTTGAAAAAATATAAGAGGCAGACAGGACAAAATTTTACTTAACATCTATAACCAGGAGAATTAAACAGCCCATACCAAACTGTGATCTTGAAAAAAGTTGAAAGTTAACACAGACCACTAAGCAGTTCTATACCTTAGTTCTCTTATCCTAACATTCATGACATATTATAGTTTGGAAATACCTTTATACAAATTCTATTACCTTAACTATTACTGAAGCTATCCTTAGGAACATGAATAGAATTCAAAACATTACCTCTGTGTTCCCCTACACTACAGAAGTTCATTCACAAATTAACCTGCTTCCCCATTCCCAACATATACACAATACTGTGTATAATTCAGCCAACATAAAATATATCTTCCTCTTGGACTTTCACTCAAACCCCAAATATTTTGCCTGAGTTCTATTCTTCCTGTCATGCAATAAGACCTTGTACAGGTGCTGCTCAGGATGAAAACACCTTGCTACACAAAAGTTCTTGTCCAGCCACATGCTCTGCCTCTGAACACAGAGGTTCTGAACACTGATGGATTTTTCCTTAAAAATCACTGGTTCTCTACTGACTACTGCATACAGAAATATCACCTCCAGAACTTAGAGGAAAACAAAAGAGTCACCTTACCTGATTTCTGTCACGTGCACTGGTGTACCTGATCTTCTGGATGAAGTAAAATATTAACCATGCTGAAGAAATGATCATCAAAACAATAAATGATATTGACACAAAGACTAGAGAGCCCCGACTGAAGTTTTTTGGAGGAACACGGGACCCTACTGCAATTGCCATCAGGACAGAAATATTCTTTTCCAAGTAATTCAGGATCTCCTTAACCTTTGATTCTGTAATCATGACAGCAACAATGTCTCCAGTTCCTATAAAAAGAAAAAAAATATTTAATTTACATTTAAAATTAACACGGCAAGCTGCTCAGATGATTTTCCAAATGCAAAGCCATTTAACAACTTGGAGATTTTAATCTAAGCTATCTATGGCACTTGGAACATGCTACTGGGCACTCAACTCATGGCTTGTCCTTCAAATCCAGATTTTCAAATTAGGACATTAACATGCAAACCAGACCTCTACCAGTGGTTACACAGTACTTCCCACATGGTAATTACTGGGTGCAGTCTGAACTAGCTTTAGAAAGTCCATTTGTTCCAGACTGGGAGCTGTGAAATCCTGAATAAGCAACTCACAGGAAAACATTTAGAAGAGTAGTTCAATGATACCGCTGGAGTGGTCTTAGGGCACACAGTGCTGCATGCAAGAAGCTCTGGAGAGCTATGCAAGTTCCCCTGCCTGGTTATGTAGCCTTCACATGCCACCAAGGTTGTCCAGGACCTGTAAATCCCAACTCCAGTAGGGAAGCAGCAGAGCCAAACTTCTATCTACATCACTTCAGACAGAAGTGGAAGCAAAGTGACTAAGTCTGTTTGCAAAGTAGAAAAGAAATGAATAAAACTTGGCAGAAATTTGAGTGCTGATTTTATCACCCATGCAAAGACAAGCTTGGTAAGAACACAACGAGGGTGTCAGCTTCATCTACTCCATTTTGAAGGTGTAGCTCACCTGGTTTTCAGAGTGTCTTGCTTCTACACTACCCCTAAGGGAAAATTATTGGTACAAGGACAAGAGAATCAAATCACAAGACTTGCTGAAAAAAAGAATTAAATGACCTGCAGCACAGACACAGCATCTATGTTTTAACAGCAGGGGCCCCATAAAAAAAAGAGGATCTTGAACTCAGGGCAATTCTGATCTAAGTTCAAAGAAAACAAAGTTTATAGGAAAACCCAAGCCAGAAAGAAAAAAAGCCTTATGAGTGCCATTCTTACTAATCCATATCTACTTGCTTCTTATACTAAAACCCCTTTCAAGACCTATTTTCAAACTGCTTGCAAACTCTGCTCATCTGTTTGCTCCATCTGCTTGCTCCAATTCACATCCCCTCAGAGGAACTGTATAATGCAAGTGATTCCAGCACCAAGAGTCTGGGTCTAGAGTGGATTTACATTACAGAGAACCTAATGCAACAGTGAAGATAAAACATGAGGTCCTATTTTAACACAGGGAATCTGCTTTTGAATCAAAATGTGATTTATAAGAAGTTATTGTGTCCATAAAATGATGTGGAAGACCCAAAAGAGCAGCATCTTTGAAACTCAGGGCACAAATAAGTCAGGGTGACAGACCCAGACAGCTACTTAATTTTCTAAAATGAGGGCTTTAACAGAGTTGTGTAACAGTCTTAAAAGTTCTTTCATTACTCTTTCCGTTCACCATGCCAAACAGTAACTTTTACAGTCACTATCCTTAGTTGTCAGAGTGAGTTCCCTAACATTGGTGTTGTGTATTGTGCTGACAGAACTACTGAGAAGAATCAAAGCTGGTAATCTCAGAAATTAAGATTTGTGCAATAACTTAAAAAAGTATTCCACAGCCCCAAAATGGTTTTCCCAAGAAATTTCAACTTGTCTTTTTTTAAGGTTGAAATGGTAAAGATACTCATGCCTTTTCCTAGTAACATGGGACTAAGTAAAAAAAGAAAGTTCAGTGTTTCCTTCTGAATTAGTATTTTTGAAACAAATGTCACAGTAAGAAAAAAGCTTTGACTAGCAACCAAAACCTAACACAGTTTATGATAATCACTACTATACCACAGATTCACACAAGGTCCACTTTAGTCCCGCTCTCCAGAGACACTTCAGTTCCAGATCTACTGAGCTTGATTTCACACAAACTAACAAAGATATTTAATAGGCAGCAAAGCTCAGAAAGCTCAGTAAAAATCCACCACTTGCTTTATTTTCAGAGGAAATCTACTTGGATTTCTATTTGTCCAGTTGGGAAGAGTCCTTGCCCAGACTTGCAGCACAAGAACCACCTTTCCTGCAAGATTCTCTTCTGTAGATGCAGTATGTGCTCCTGAAACCCCAAAACCCTGCAGCTCAGGAGGTGTAAGATCAATCAGGAGTGGGTAATTTATACTGCTTGGTATTCTCCCCAGGCTTCCTTTCTGTTCTTCGTATCTAGTTCAGATAGTGAAGGGCGGGGAAGGGTGCGGGTGTGTCTGGATCAAAAGCTGAAGCCTCTACCTATTCCCTGCTGCCCAGGGAATATGACAAATCCAACAATCTGTCCTGTGTTTTATATAAAGCCTAGCACAAAGGGAACCTCTGGCATCACTGCAAAGTGATTTGCATTCCAAATGACTCAACTGGGAACAGCCAAAGTGCTACTGCTGCTTCTGACCCTGCGAGAGCCAAGGAGAACTGCAGAAAAGAAAAATAAATCCTGCCTGTTTAACACACTGAAGCTCAGTGAAAACTGGGACTTGGTTCATTCGTATTTTTGTCAGGGGCATCACCCTAAATAATTTTAGCAAGAGCTCCCTACTTGAGAACAATTGGGAGCAGGAGGAGACACTGACTCATTTATTTTAAGCACCTTGAAAACTTGCATTTCTGAAACTTAAGCAGAAAAAAATCCTCAGGTGAGCACAGAAAGACTAAGAGGGTTTGTAGAAGTTTGAGTGTGGTCTTACCACATGTTCTTAATGAAATGCAATACTCTCCTCAGCCAAAACCAGTGTCCAGAGAAGCTGGAATGCTAAACAAAAGGCAGTGAACTACACACTCAGCCATAGATGAGAAGCTAGGACAGATGGTAGGCATAAGATAAATATTGACGCCAGTAAATATAAATAATTTAATTGCTATCATCCAAGCCCAGACAGCTCCTTCTAGCTTCCAATTTTACCATGTGCATGTTTAATTAGGATCGTTATACAAGTTTATGTATGAAAAGGGATGAAGTTGCAATTAATCATTGCATCTGTATAATACTACATTGGGAGAGGATAAGAGAAAGATTTAAAAGCTGAGAATACACTAAAACCAAGAAGATAGGGAAACCATCAACATCCAGAAATTTCCTGTAGAGCTCCTAAGCAAATTGTTTTACTGCTTTACTAATCTACCCATATCTCCCAGCAATTCCAAAAGAATCATTTAGGAAGTCAATAGAAAGTCATCTCAAAGAAAATTACTAATCTCATCACAACTAAATAATTGTTTCCTTTTTTGTCAATCCTTGACTACCAAAAATTTGTCAGAAGGTCAAAATATGGACAACTATGGCCAGGATACCAAGCTAAAGACAGGCATGGTTCATAGAGCAGACTCCGGACTCCTTCCATCCATCTGACGTCCCTTGGAGGATGCAGGGAACAGCAGCCTGGCAAAATGCAACCATCAAACAGCTGATTTAGTTTTTTTCCTGGGCTTGTGAACAGCCCAAGCATCTGCTTGGTGAACACTTGCGTAGGAGGACAGGTGAGACAATTCCTCTCGGGCATACGAGCAACCTGGCACCGAACTGCTGCTACTGCTGCAATGCTTCAGCCACCTGCCCATGGACAGGGAGGACAGAACCTGAGACCCCACCTCAAGCACAGCACGTGTTGGACCACCCGCAACAGGAACAGAACTGCTTTCAATGGATGTAACTGGGTTTGCAGAGCACTGAGAATTAAATCACATACTCGTAACAAAGGTTAGTACTTTTCCAATGGGTGATACTTTCAGCTGAAGTCCTTGTGATTTCCCAAGTCTTTGATACTGCCTGCAGATGCTGCAGACAGCATGAGGCAGATGGACTGCACTTACCTCATGCTTGCGAAAGAATATTGTTCTCTCTTTAAATAGCAGTCAATATTTAATAAACTGAATACTTTCATGACTTCATTTTGAAAAACCTAAACTTAACACACGCTTATCTGAATAATTCTGCTGGTGGAAATTTCAGACTACTTCCTTAAATAAGCAAACTAAATCCCCACCTTCCTAATAACGGTAGAGAACAGTGCAGTCACTTATAGGCTGGATTCAGGGTGTGATTCAGACACTGAAATGCCAATACCTATTCAACTGCAGCAATGGGAACATCATCATGATCATGTCATTGGAAACAAACTGGCCTGTCTTCACAATCCAGACTTTCCCATTCTTCTATTAAAATCTCATAACTGATGCCAAGCATTTCTGAATGCATTTTATCAGAAATAAAAAAATACAGCAACACACTATTCAGTACCCAGGAAAGGCACCAGTCCTATTACTGGGAGTGACAGATTTCTTGGAATACACAGGAACTGCTCCAACAGAATTTGGGAGCCCATAAAACATCAAAGAGAACAGGAAAGCACAAATGAAGTGCTAAGGTCCCATACGAAGCATCGAAAGACCAATTGCAAGTTCTGTGAAAACACCAGAGGATGTCTGAGCTGGAAGGGAGCAGAGGCAGGAACTACCCTTACAAGGTAAGGGATTTAGGCACAGAGATAGGGATAGAATCCATGGAACCCACAGGGTGAGGTGAGGGAAAGGGAAAAGGCATACTGAGCTGGATGCAGAGTTGCACTGCTAGAACATGTGGGCTTGGGGCACACAGCTTTTAAATATCAATTCCATAATATTTAACCACATTTGGGAAAAACATAAAAATTACTCAGACACCTTAAAATTTTAGTCTGGTACAAAACAGAGAAATTCACCATGAAGTATGTGTCTTACATTCTAAAACAGGCTTTTGGAAAAGCAAGAGGAAAAGCTTTGACATATCTTCAGAGTGATTAAAACAGGTCTAGCTGCACATATTTTGATTTTGATCTAATCAGAAAATAAACAAGAGCACATCCAAGCTGTCAACACACGAGTGCAATCTCAAGAGTAAAATATGTTGTTTGAGATGTCCCAAATCAAATACTTCTGAAAACAGAAAAAAAAGCAATATTTGTCAGTTACTCAGTCCTAAGCGAGGCAAGAATTTAATGCCATGAATATACATCAGTTTTTAAATGAGACTGGAT